TTAATGTTTTATTTTTATTTTTTATTTTTTTTAACCTTTTTTTCCTTTTAATTTTAGGAAACGGTGATAATGATAAGAGGAAATTCTTTGGATTTACAGTCCCGATTTGCAAAGAAATTATTCGTGACATTTCTGTCATTCTTCTCAATGCAACTCACAGGACAAATAAACATAAAGATTTATTATATACCTTGCTTTCTCCTAACCCCAAAACCAGAAAAGGTATCACGCTCGCTTACCTTATTTCGTTCTGCAAAAACTTCGAATCTGTACAGTATTGGTTTTATAACCTTCACGCTCAATTTCCTAACTGGCAAGGTTCTACTGCATTTTTAGTTGACTGTGATCCGGCACAAATCAAAGCCCTTCGTGTGGTTTTTCCAGAAAGTAGGATTTTGCTTTGTTGGTGGCATGTTACGAAAGCCTGAAGGAAAAATCTTGCCAAGATTAATAAAGAAAAAACCCAGTCATTAAGATATAAACTCACATCTGATGAGAAAAGATCATTAGAAAGTGAGCTCTTTGAAGATTTAAAGTACCTAATGAACATTGATAATATAAATGTCGTTGATGAAGTTTTAGTAACGTTTTTTGAAAAATGGAAAAATTCAGTAACATTTATAGTATATTTCAAACGACAGTGGCTGAATAAACCAGATGAATATAGAAATCTTAATAGAATTGACAAAATCATGTGGATAAAAGCTTACCGTACAAGAATTCTACGACTAATATGGATACGACAAATATGCTCGAATCTTGGCATAAGCATTTAAAGTATGACAATTTTGAAGGCAAAGTAAATAGACGCATCGATGTTTTAATTTATGAACTATATATCGTAATGGACGGTGATACTTGGCAACAACGGTGCTTTGCTGACGTTCGAGCAGGGCGTATGATGCCTGCAGAAAGGGAAGTTCACAGAAGGCAAATAAAGGCGCAAGAGTTAGTAAACAGGGGTGAGTCAATATAAAACATGCAAATTTCTTATAATAAAATTTTATAAATTTGGACAAGAATAGCTTAACAAAATCAAATTTGGTAAAAATTTTTTTTAGAAACTTGCAGAATTAATTTTTATTAATAAGTTTTTGTTAAATCATTCTTGTTTAAAGTTTTAAAAAATAAAAATTGTTTGCTTGGTTTTTATTGACTCAACTCCAAATACAGTTTTAGAAAACACAATTGGTAGGAATTATTGGACTGTAGCTTCGGAAACAATACCAGGCATAAGATATTCAGTAGAAAAAAATTTTGAACATAGTCAGTTAGAAAAAAAATTTTCTTGCACATGTACAGACTTCAGTATGTGACAACTTTCCTGCAAGCATGTTTATGCTATCATCCTTCGCTATTTTTCTTCACCTTCAAAGAACGTCGAACTATCTTGCCAAAAGCGGCAACAAATTTAACAGCCACAGCAGCTAGTCCCTACTTCTGAAGAACTTATTCATAATATTCATGAAATGACGCAGAACCTTAATGATCTTGATATCAATTCTTTACAGGTTGTTCGCAATCAATTGTTCAGAGTTCTTGAGGATGTTTGCAGGCTGGACAAAAGTTTTCAGGAAGGTGACTGGGTAAATGATCAAAATATTAAATTTCTACCAAATGTAAGTGTAGAAAGACAGCGAAGATAAATTTCATACTCTTTATTATCATAATTATTATTTAACCAAACCTATTTTAAGAAAGAATGTTTTAATTAAGATCTCGCCATTTGTTACCATAAAA